TAAAAGATGAGTATTAACCAGCAAATAGTCGTGTTTGAGATGGTGGAACCAGAGAATTTTTGCCATTTTTAAAAAATTCAAATTGTTTTCGATTCATTTTTTGTTGATCAACCAATTGATTATTAAACAATTTGTTTCAGCTCTACATGAAAGACCATTATTGACTTTGGAAATATGAAATATGTAGTTTGGAATTTCACACGGTTATCCACACATTGAGTTTGCTCATTTGAATTTCACATCTACAACAAGTTTGTAAGTAGACCTTGAGTTGAGATTGTTGCGTCAAAATACAATTTCAAAAGCCGAGAGTGAACCTTCATGCTTAACACATGAGAAGTCCTAAATGGGGTGAAATCACAACAGCTCCTGAAGACACACGTCAACAGATCCCTCTCCGTAACAACTGAGAAAACTCTATCCACTGAAGAAGACCATGTGATATGGCTGAAAGCTCCATAACTGTTTTGTCAAACTGAATTATATTGATAACCAAAAGTTCAGAGATTTGGCAATAATGTTGAGGTCTCATATGGGGCAGGGGTTTGTGTCTTGGATGTGGAGAATATTCTCTGGTGGATAATAAGCTCAGCCTTGGTTGACATTTTACAACAAGTCTCCTGTGGGGTGCACTGATCACAAACTCTCCTGACTGCATGCAGACTCTCTGCACTACCACATTTTCAACTTTTAAGAGGGCATATGACCTGTTAAGATTCTTAAGTCACCAGCAAAACAAGTATGGATAAGCTGCTTTAATCCAGTCACAGTTTAAAACAGGAGGGCTTTTACTCATAAACTGAAATATCTTGTATTATAGTGTTTTTCTATTGTTGTCACAAGTTAAGAAATCTCCAATTTTTTAATATCTTTAACTAACTATCATCCCCAGTGTTTGAGTAATTGTGGTGCCTTTGAAGCAGCTGTGGATAAACTAATTACTTCAGAGTGATGGTGTGTAATCTTCCATCATGCAGTCCATCTATCTTAGCACCGTCCTGATGGAGGGAGGTGGGTTTGTGACGACTAATGAATGGAGTGACTTGCGGGGAGACGATCCCAGCAACTTCTCCGTAGCTCTAATTTGAACGCCTTTCATTGACTGCGGATGAGGAGGGTGGGGGTGGTCTGAAACAGGGTGGTGGGGGTTGTGGAGTATTGTGAGTTGAACAGCAGAGCCCCACTCTAGCTGAATGGGCATTGTCATCTGGATTTCTATGGCTAACCAAAATACTTTCTCCCGCCGTGGGGGTTTATGGATTCACGGTGGGAACGGCATGCATTACGCACAGCCATGTAGGGCACTCCTGCCTCTGCAGACCATCACAGCTCCGTTGTCAGTTGTTTTGTTTAAGAACACACTTTAACTAAAGTTTTCAGACAATATATTCAGTTTAATCTTAATAAAATGAAACGATATTGCATCTTCGTATACATGAATAATGAATCATTACATCAAATGTCAACAAACCAACAGAAAACAAAGTTTATTCCTTGAATGTTTTGAAAAGAAAAGACTTCCTGCAGTGACAATGATGCAAAAACCTTGCAGGTGCTCAGTGCAGCCGAGAAAAGTACTGTAACATTTCATGTTGTGACCTAGGGATCCCAGGCTCTCTGGAATCTACTACAGGTCCAAAAATAGACTGCAAACCTCAGTCACCGCAACCAACTTCTGAACGACACAAAAGTGTGTCCGAGATTTATTAAGGTTTTTTTTAGACTACTTTTCTCCGTCGGTCTTTATTGCTATCGGGCATTGTTGAAGTCCTCAACATGTCGGCGTCGTTCCACTAAAGGCAATGGGACTTTGAATGTGTGAGAGTGCAATCATTCTCAGTTACACGTTTGTGCTGACAATGCACATCAAGGCAAAAAAAAAAAACAGTGTAGCCTATATATTCGATGGCAAGAGTTCTTCTAGAACAGAAAAACTTTGTAGTTACAACAGTAAACAATTCAAAACACTAATAATTTCGAAGACTTACAAAAGCAGGTACCTAACAAAGATACTCCTTTTTGTCTACCTCTTGTGGTTGATAGTCTTTTTTAATCTCCTGTAGATACAAAAAGGATTTGTGAATTTGCGGTCCGAGCGTATTAAAGGTAAAACAGCAGATGTGCTTCCATTGATTTTCAAAGTTCAGATTTCTAATAAAAAAAACTGCAGGTGCAAAGATAACGTCCGTTAAAAAAAACTGTTTTTCAAAAGCTGCAGGTCACTTTTACGCACCGCCTGCTCTGAGCCACATAGCTACACATAATTCCTCTTGTCATAGTCCCCGTTCTGCGTGGTTCTCTTAGTCGGTGCGTATTTTACTGAGTATCCCGAGTTCCCGCTGGAGGGACAGGAGCAGCACAGCAGCGCTCCTCCGATCAGTAGCAGCGCTGTGGCCGCCCAACCGATGTACAGCGCAGCGCCAATCTCCCTCTTCTTGGATGCGGGCACCTGCGGGTTGTAGAAGTCCGATATGATGTTGTTGGCCATCCAGCAGAGAGGCACCAGCACAAACACGCCACTGATGATGTAGATGGCTCCTCCGGCGTTCACCACCCGGGCTTTCACGTACTCAGTGCGGATGCAGTTGGTGCACTGCGCCCCAGCAATCACAACCATGAGCCCCAGCACGCCCATCACCGAGGAGATGATGGTGAGCGCTCTGGCTGCCTGCAGGTCGTGGCTGAGGGCGAGGACGGAGTCGTGCACCTTGCACTGCATCTGCCCCGTGCTCTGCACAACACAGGACATCCACAAGCCGTCCCAGATTGTCTGAGCCACCACTATGTTCGCCTCAATGAAAGCCGTCACCTTCCACATGGGCAGTCCGCACGCAACCATCACCAGGAGCGAGCCAATTACGCACAGCGACAGTCCCAGGATCTCCAGTCCCGCGGACACCATTTTCGCTCTTTACGTTTAGTTCTATGAGAAACTTTTCAAACTCTCCCCTAATTTTTCCTCTTGAAAGCCAGGTGTATTTCTGCTCTTTAGTTCTTCGTTCTCGCCTCGACGTACAGCAGCGTCAATCCTTAGTTGCGCATCACTCTACTCGGAGATGTAAGAGACAGCAACTCTGAGTCTCTTTGTTAGTGAGGGGATGTGAAAACAACTGGAATCACAGTAGCACCGAACCACGAATATCTGCGGGGTGGGGGGTGTATGGACTGGAGGAGAAACTTTCCTCCAATCAGCTGTCGCCGCATCCTCAAGGGACCAATGAAAACACAGGGAAGTTGTGCGACTGAATAAAGCGGTCCAGAGCGCATTGTGTGTTTGAACAGTTATTTACAATGAATAGAGGGGGGCAGGAGACGGGTGAAGGCATACGGGGGGTGTTTTTAAGGGTATGGAGCAGCTGAAATGCAGTGGTTTAATTTATCAAGGCGGTTAATGATTTTTCAGACATGGAGTTTAATGCCACTTGTCTGTGGTAGCCTATGGCCTAAAATGGCCATTTCACATCAGTTTTTATATGTATGTGGCTCTTAACTGGCTGACACAAAATGTCAGTAAATATGAAAGAAAAGAAAAGAAAAGAAAATATAATGTTCATTTTAAATGCCTTCACTTTAAATTTCAAGCTGATTTTTCCAAAGAGACCCGATTCTCTGTCTTTTCTATTTCCCTGATCTCTACAGAAACAGTATAACTATTTATAACTGCAGCTCTTCTTAATTTCATAGCCTACTTGAATTTTCCCTTGGATTATCATTTCTTATTGCATGTGTTATGTCTTTTTACAACGTTCTTGTGAATGTTTTTGTTGTTTTTTCTTAGCCTATATCTTTTATTTTTGAGGTCGGGTGGCTGGTTATGCACCACCCATGGTAGCCTAGAATAATTGTAGCCTAATAACTTATAATGACCCTTACTGTAAACAACAAATTTATTTTTTGTCTTTTCAGCTGCTTTTATACAGTTCTAGTTTACTGCAGGATACTTTCCTTCCACTTTTTGTTAAAATTTGACTTATTTTGCAATAACTATAGTCTGTAAGCATTTTTTAAAACCTCGTCATCATCACTTTACAGGAATTAATGATTGTCAAATGGCTTAGCACACCCTGTGATTGTTACACTATTTGATTACATGCATGACCTGTCAGTATTATTACTCATGCATGAATCTAATAGGATTTTACTGTTGTAGTTGGTTGAGGTGGAGATCACTTAACCATTTTACATATGGCTACAACTAAAGATTATTTTTATTGAATTGAGTTGATCTGCTGATTATTTTCTTGATTAATGGATTGATTGCTTGGTTTTGTAAATATTCGTAACATATGCATTCAACATTAGCCAGAGTGTAAAATGACACCTTCACAGTGATTGTTTGTCAAGCCAACAGTCCAAACTTCAAAATTATTAAAGGTTAATAAACAATATTTATAAATGTTATAAATATTTTTTAATGAATAATTAATTAGAGGGAAAATCATCTCGTTTGAGAACCAGAAACAATGAAATGTTTGACATTTTACATAAAAAATTATTTAAACAATTATCAAAATAATTGCCAATTAATTTTCTGTTAATCGACTGTTGAGTAGTTAATAAACAGCATTTACAGCAATTATCATATTCTACACGCTGTTATTGTGTTTATATATAAATGTCTTAATTGTAAAGTTATTAAAGCTATCAAATAGGTAAATGTCAAATATTTCCCGCTGAAATGCAGTGGAGTAGAAGTTTAAAGTGGCATTAAAAGAAAAATACTCCACCAATGTACCTCAAATTCGTACTTACGTGCAGCAGCCTACTTTTAGTAAATGTGTTACAAAGCTGACATTAAGTTAAGTTAAAAATGTCAGCGGTCAAAGAGGAACCTGTTAAAGCAACTGTAATACTTAAGCAGCCATATTGGATCTGACCAGCAATGCCCTTCTATGGCTCAGCCGTCCTGGCCTTTGAACCATAATGGCGTATGTGGCACAGCACGACAGCCGTTGGACAAGAGAAGCTTCAGGGACGAGGGCGGACTCACGGGGACGGTTTCCGGGTTTCCCTTCCTGGGCTGGGACAGTGGCGAGAGGCAAAAAAAGCTCCTGTTGATTAACAATATTTCAAAGTTACTCTGAGGTAAGGCACTGCTCTGTGGTTTGTTGTTATCGTGTTTTTTTAAACAAGCTGTTAGGTTGAGTCGGAGCAGGGCGAAGAAGACACACCGGAGCGTCAGTTGAAGCCGAGCTGGCAACAGGACACCAGCCGCGGTAACAACTGTTGCATGCTAAAGTTTGACATGTAAAGTTTTGGTGCTGTGTGGCACTCAAATTCGCTCTATCAAACATGTTTTTAAAAAGAAAATTACTTTTGAATGGTATCTAACTAAGCGGCGTACGTACAAACTGTATTGTCATTGTCCCAGTTGATGTTTGGTAAATTCAGTCAGTGTCTGACAGACAGACTGGGTGTGGTGGACATCCAACTGTTACAGACCCAGAGGCCTTCACACACGTCCCCTGGCCAGTGACTGAAGCATTGATTTATATTCTTTTAAACTATCTGGCAAAATTGTCCAAGGAAACATTTCCTCTTCAGATTTTCTAAGCAGGCATGATAGCCCAGTACCTTTTTTTTTTTAAACACTCAGTGCTTTTGAACTCCTCTATTTTCCCATTGCCCCATTTCTTACTCTCTTCAAACTATCCACACTTCAGTGGGCATATATATTCCTAAATCAGTATCATATAAAATCTGCATCAGATGTGCCCTTCAAAGCCTTGGCTTTCACACATTTCCTGTAAATTCCTCTTGTGTAACATTCCTGACCTCTGAAATCGCTTTCTAACATCTGATCACTCCTTGACCTTTGATTGTAAAGCACATTTGCGCAAAATAAATTTCATGTTTAGACAACTTCACAATAACAGTGGGAAACAATAACGTATTCTCATTATGTGTCTGTCTAAGATGTGGCGGAGGGCCACTATTGAAGAATTATCATCCATCTTTGCTTGTGCTTTGGCTCAGTGAAAACATGTATATTTCACTTCCTTTCTTGCTGAGTGGTGAACAGTATGGGCACCAAGGCAGACTGGGTGAGCTGTAATCTCGGGCTGGCAGCTGCCCCTTTACTTAAGAAACAACTTTGCTTTTTACCCAGTTGGACACATATCAATTTGATATCAGAAAGAAAACATCTCTTGGTACTGAAAGACGTCCCAAGCCTTGATCCAGCATCGTCACCGCTCTCTGACCTTTCCCCTTCCTGCGACCTTATATCATAAACACTGGCCCGGGACAGAAGCGCTGGGGAAGACATCTGTCTTACTCTATAAACTACAAGGTGATGTTTCCTCCCGCTTTGCACCGTGGTGTGAATGGAAAAACAAAACTTGATTCACGTTGACAAACCCAAGTGGACCTGCGCTATTGTGTCAGAGGTTTGAATGATGATGTAACACAGCAAGATATCTTTATTCACTGGACTGTGTGTGAAAAACTGGAAGAAGAAACACACATTAGAAACAACTTTGATCCCTTGTTTTATTGTCTGTCATCACAATAAAACAAGGGTTAGGATAATGTGATGGGCATCTTTCACCTTTTTCTGATGTTTTAAAGATCAAACAATTAATCAAGAAATTATATCAAATTAATCAATAGACTTGTTCGTAGCAGCTCTAAATTATATTTTTACATTATTGATTTATCTGTCTTGAGGTTCGATGATATGGATACATTTTTCTATAGTGTATGTCATTTTATTTCATGATAATATATATTGCGAAATCGTTATTTTTCTAGAAATTCAACTGAGAAACAATTAATAGATAAAGTAACTGGATACAGAATTGTATGTTTCTGGCTTATACAGCAAACTACCTGACAAATTCAGGTACATTATCACATTCGTACAAAAATCCCTGAGTCCAATATTGCTGTAAATCAGTCCAGCTCACTTGTGCTCATTCATTTTTTTAAATTGTCCACAAAGTTGATATTATAAGATACATGCAGTATATATAAAGGCATCTGTATAAAGAGTAGGCTATAATAAAATCTCTGACTCTAAAAATTTTTATGTTGTCTTATAGTATCACATTGTCCCCTAACGTGTAATATTTTTTGGATGAATAATTTAGTCTATAAAAGTGACAAATATCCATCATAACTTCACATTGCTTGTTGTGTGTGACCAACAGCCTAAAACCCAAAGATATTCAGTTTGCAATGACAGACAACACAGTAAAGCAGAATTCACAGTATTATTCAATCTCATCATTCATCCATTTGATTGTGCATTGATTTGACTTATTCTCACATGTACCTACTGATGGAACATAATTATGGCCAGAAAGGTGCAGGAAGATAAACAAAAAATTACAGTACTCGCACCTTTTACTGTAATCTTGGTTTTAGTTTCACGTTTAATCATCAATGTAGAACCTTTTCCAGATAAGGTTCATTGAACAATATAACAGCTGTGTGAGCAGTTTTAGAATAACATTTTTGTTTCTGTATGCTATGTTTTTAGTCATTTCCTCTCCTGTCCCCATCATCATAAATGGTCCATCCTGTGCTTTAAACACTGTGTGTGTTATGAACAAGCCTGCTGGTTTCCTCATGGTTGAAAGGCTTTTTCATTCCGCCTATTGTGGCTCCCCCCTTCCCCGTGGGCTCATATTATTAAGTGTTTTTAAAAGCACAGCTTAAAAACCAGTATCATATCTTTATTACTGTTGCCCACCACGACTACCTTTGGTCCCCAAGGGCGACTTAATTACAGTCAGGCCCCCATGTCCACGAGTGTTGTGTGTTTGTGTATGACGGTGGGTGTGTGTCTTTACATGTGCCAAACATCATTTTATTGTGCTCAGGAGTTCTGGGGTCCCTGTTGCTGTGATCACTTGCCAGTAAATTACCGTAATTGTTGTGATGCCACCTAGTTCGCTAAATCTCCATGGTGCAAAATTATTGCTTCAGTGTTTCCAGTAAGAACAGAAAGTCCTTAATCCATGGAGAGCTGGTGTGTGGACCCTTGACAGTGCCTGTCAGGAAGGTAAATAGTTCTGCTAGTACTGCTGCCCCTTCATGGCTTTACTCCAGCCAATAAATCAACTGTAAATGCATTACATGCCAAGAACTTCGGATTAACTAAGGTGGCATTTTTCCCTTTTGGCCCAAACTGTTTAATCTCCCCCACGTCTGGCCCGTTGATAGCTGTGTGTATGTGTGTGTGTAAGCAGCTCAGCAGCCTGGCCGATTAAATGGCCATTATTAAGAGAGTATTATTGAAGTGTGCCTCCCGCCTGTCTGTCCTGTAGTGTTGTCTTTGTAATATTACAACTGCGATATTGGAACGGTTTAATTAATCTGCTGCTGGACTAATGCAGGTTCCCACAGAGCCTGTCGAGGAATAATAGTTAGTGTGTGTGTGTGTGTGTGTGTGTGTGTGTGTGTGTGTGTGTGTGTGTGTGTGTGTGTGTGTGTGTGTGTGTGTGTGTGTGTGAGATACTAATGGATATGCCTGTGTGTGCCGCTACATTAACTTAGATATTAATTACAAATGAAAACAAATGTATTATTGTCCTTGTTTTTAGGGCTGAAACAAATGATTAAGCCACACTTGTGTTGTGGCTCGAGGGATGGCAATGCTGGCCTGATCCATCACTTTGCTAGAAGCCTGACTTGTTTTCTAGTGCCACAGTGAGGTTGACTTCTTTGTTTCTGGTGAAATGTCTCAACAACTATTGGATGAATTCCCTTGAAATGTGATAGAGATATCCATTGGTGCGCTGAGGATGAATCTCAATGACTTTGGTCCCTCTGACTTTTCTTCTTATGCCACCAGCAGGTCAAAATATTTATTTATTTAGTGAAATATCTCAACATGTACTTCACAGATTAGCACATGTTTAGTAAAGAGATTTATGTTCCACAGAGGATATCTCTTTACCACTGTGGTGATTTTTCTGAATTTTCCTCTATTTAATTTTCCTGATAGATTTCCTGAATATGATAAACATTATAAACATTGTACTTGAAACATTGCATTGCTGAAGACTCTTAGTCTTGTTTTCATCAGTGAAAACAACTTGTTTCTTCTGTTGATTAATTCTTACTTAAACGATGAACCATTTGGTTTGTAAAATATCAGAAATTTGTAAAAAAAAATGTCCATCACTCTTATGCAGATGTATTTTTTATTTTATTTTTTTATCATAAAAGCAAATATTCATATTTGAGACGCTAGAACCAGTGAATTTTTGGATATTTTTGTTTTACAAAATGACTTAACAACTTACAGATTATTACAATGGTTTCCAGTTATGGTTGATCAATTAATTGAGTCAGCTTGAGTTAAATTGGTGTCATAATACTATTTTGTGGTTTCTATAACACTTACGTTGGTTGCCCATTCTCAATATCAGTGATCATTTTTACCTTTTTTTAAAATTTACCTCCCTGACAAGGCCTCATCTCCCCTCCATTGTTTTGACTGGGTTATCCTTTTGACCTGTATGGACCTTTAGCCCCTAAACTGGCACTCCTTCACCCTGAATGGCTGGTGTCTCACCTCGCTGTCCTGCATGTGGCCGGTGCTGAATGTGGTCAGGGGTGAGGCACGTGTTCTCCCTCCTCCCCTAGCTGAGCTGCCCTGTATAGGAAAGGCTTCAGGAACCAGAGGGATAAACAGCCATTGTTCGCCTTGTGGGCTCGGTGAAACCACCCTGTCAGTATGAGAGATCTCTGCCCACTTTCATGTAGATACAGAGGGCCCCCTGACTACCATCTAATGCATTTAACAGTGTGAAATGGTTCCCCAAGTGACCACAAATGTGTGTTGCATCACATGCCAATGGAGAAAGGTCAGTTCAGGTTCCCATGCCACCTTTTTCCCCCAACTAACATTACGTAACCAGAGTGCATCTCCGTTTGGCAGCGCAACGCAGCCTGCCTCTTTCTAATGCTTATCACACTCCACCTGTCAAGGGCCTGTGTGTTGGTGATAAAATGGAGCCTGTTCTTCCTGCTCAGTCATTATGGAGCTAATTTATCAAGCGAGCTTGTTGCTCTGTCGTCTGCAAAGGGTCATAGATTGGGGCAGGAGCACGGGGTACACTAGTCTGTAACAGTTTAATGGGAGTCTGGGAACAAACTTGTTGCCCAGAGCTCTTAATCTCTTCTCCTTCCGTGTGATAGTGTTAGAGAACAGGGTAGTCGTCAGCCTGAATGAACATTTTAACGCGGACTCAGTGGTGCAGAGTTGTTCAAGTCACAGTTTATAAGATAAATATCCAGAGAGTCAGTTGGGTTTTTGATTCATGCTTGAGAAAAATGAGCCACATGAAGCAACTCTCCCACTGGTATCTCTGGGTTTATCAGGCTATTCTGGGCAATATTGCAAATCATGTTTTTTGGCAATATTTGATTTTTTTTTCTCATGATTTTTGTATTAATGTGATGGTTTGCTACTAATAGGGGGGAGGTTAATCTTAACTGTTTTTTAGATGATTTTTCTGGTTTTATTTACTGCTGTATCTCTGATGTTTCTCCACCATCAGGCTCATCAGACATCCAGTAAACAGTAGCGATGTCTCAGTCTGGAGAAAAAGGGAAGGTGAGTAACAGACAGAAATGTAATCAATGTATTGATTACAGAAATGTAATCAACTATGATAAATCAGAGTCTACAGAAGGGGTTTTTAATGAAGCAGTGGTGATTAAGACTCATGGCACTTGTAATCTCATGCACACACACGTCCACAGGCATCCAGAGAGGATATCCTGTATAAATGCAAGTGTTTCATAGCTAGGCTTTATTGGCTGTTGGGATTTCTCAATGATATGCATCATCATCAATCTCACTTACACCTTTACACATACCGTACACCTCATAAAATGTCAGGGGAGTTGGTTAGCAGATTTTCTGAGTTAAAGGAAAAACTACATAACAACAATTACATAGTTACTAACCCTTTTAATTTGAATTACTATATATTTTTTTGACAAGATATGTACTTTCTTATTGTTTCTGACCTTAATTTTGAATGTGTGTCTTTTTGTGCTCTACAGTTCCCAGATGCAGCAGGTTATGTAGGTTTTGCCAACCTCCCAAACCAAGTGCACCGAAAATCAGTGAAAAAGGGGTTTGAATTTACCCTAATGGTTGTAGGTGAGTGATCATTCTTTTCTTACAATGTAGATTTGATCCAGATGATTTCAGTATGATTTCCTTTGAGAATAGAGCTTTATTTTCCATTCTCTTCGATTGCCAGGGGAGTCTGGTTTGGGCAAATCAACGCTTATAAACAGCCTGTTTCTCACTGATCTCTACCCTGAACGCTACATCCCTGGTGCCGCAGGTATACTCCCCAGTGCACACACACACACACACACACACACACACACACACACACACACACACACACACACACACACATGCATGGATATACACAAATATGCACAGTGTAATAATACAGAAATGTCTGCTGCAATATCTCCAGCAGAGCAGTATTTCAAGAGGAATGTTAGGAATGCCTTCGTCTCAAAATATGACCCTGTCCTTCTTATGACTTGACTTGGATTAGTACTTGTTCTGGCTTGAAAACTATTATCCAGACCCTCCCTGGTCAGTTTGTGCAGATAAGAAAACACGTAGTCCTTTTAGATGACAAAGCCATGATTTCATTTTTTAAGGCGTAGCCACCTCCTCGAAGCCTGCGGTTGTGGCAGTTGAGTGGTTTGTATGAGCGTGTGGCTCAGACAGAAATTTTGGATTTCAGTGCTGTGAATCCACATGGTTACTGAGGTGTCTCAACTGTTACGCAACCATTAATTATTCCTGTACTTCTATTCCGCAGAGAAGATAGAGAGGACGGTGCAGATTGAGGCATCAACTGTGGAGATTGAGGAGAGAGGAGTGAAGCTTCGCCTCACTGTGGTCGACACCCCTGGATACGGCGACGCCATCAACAGCCAGGACTGGTGTGTTTGTGTGCTGTGGAGGAGTGAGGAGTGATAACAACTTGGGACATGTTTCCTGTCCAGCATGCTGTCTCATCCTTCCCTCCTGTGCTCAACAACTCCCTTTCTCAAATTTCATCCCAAACTCCCTATTTCCTACCTCTCCTCCCTCTACATTCCCTATGTCTAGATTTCCTTGAAATGTTGGTGCGTGCACATGTGTGTGTTTGCTTGTGTGGTATCCTCAAGACAGTGGTGTCAATGTGGCCTCCTTGCCCAAGATCTATTTCCTGTGGGTTTTCCTGGAAATGCTGTATTTTTACACTGCTGGACCCACGTACTCTCCTTTAAAGGCTACGAAAAAGGAAATTACTGTAAGAGAGATGAAGTAACAGAAGAATAGTTACTTCCTCTTTGCTTTCTCCCTGTAGAATTTGTCCATTGTTGTCCACTCAATATGAAATTATAAATGTTCAGAAGTAAATAAATTTAGCCAAATTTGATAAGGCATTTCTTATTGACTGCACACACATTGATTTTCGTACTGTGCTGTTTGTCTAGAAATAATCTAATGCCTTCATCAGTTAGACTTTATCTTTATCACACCAGCAAATCGGTCATAAAAAGATGTTGTGAAATGCTAATATACTGTTTTTTCCATAGTAAGTCACACAACTACAGAGTAATTGCAGGAATCCAAAAGAATATTTAGCTCAGAATTTCTCCTTAACAAGAAATACTACTTGATATAAGATTTCTTTTCCTTGAAGCTAGCAATGCCATTCTCTGTGTTAATGGTAGAATAGTGTTCACGTGGTTGTTTTGTGTGGTTAAGGAAGTTTATGACTATTTCTCTGTTTCTTTGCCTTTGGTGTCAGCTTCAAGACCATCATCCAATACATTGACAATCAGTTTGAACGATACCTCCACGATGAGAGCGGGCTGAACCGAAGACACATAGTGGACAACAGGGTGCACTGCTGCTTCTACTTCATATCTCCATTTGGACATGGGTAAACAAACAAACACACACTTGTACAGACACCAACTGTGAGCTTATGCTGATCTCATTGATCACCAAAGATCACCTGAAATAAAGAGACTGGAAAATATATTTCATGGTTCCCATCACATATTATTATTTCGCCTTGATTTTGGTGGTATTTCAAGACATGTTTGTTTTGACCACACCATACCACCAGCAGACGAATGATGCCAGCAAGACAGAACTTCTTCATTTTGGATCTTTCAAAAATAAGGCATCTCTTGCGCAAAAAGCTGCTACTTAGTATTTCACCATAAACATTTTGTAGCTAGCAGTAGGAACTGGCTTTGGTTAATTAGTATACACTTCCAGTAACAAACTATTTTCATCTTATGATGAAGAGAGGGGTGTAGAGTATGAACTGTAGTCCCCTGTCTACACATATAAATTTTACCTTTTAAGTTCTGCTGTGTCTCCAAGTTTTGTCATGTAATTTTACGTTACATAATCCAATTCACTTCTCTGATGTTCTCCTCTTCTTCTCCTTCTCTTTCTTTTTCTTTCTCAGTCTAAAGCCACTGGATGTGGAGTTTATGAAGGCCATCCACAGCAAAGTCAACATAGTCCCAGTCATTGCCAAGGCTGACACACTGACACTGAGGGAGAGGGATCGCCTGAAGAGAAGGGTGAGTTTGATACACACACACTCTCGCACACACTCTCACACACAGCTGTCCACTGTTTTCTGTCTACAGTATATGTAATCATCTTTCCCCTAGATTTGATTCTTGGCTCAAGAAGGCTGGAATGTCTAAGCACTTGTTGTCACGATGTTCTGTGTTTGTTCTTATCCCATCTTCAGGTCCATGGTTTAGCCATTAGAAATTGGATCATTGAACAATACTCTAATAATAGCAGAATCACTTATCCAGCCATATTGGCAGCCTTGTGTGTCAGACATCTTTGTTTGTGTGATAAAGCACACATGTACTTCCCTGTGTAACTGCAGTGATTTATGGCTTACATTCTTGTGTTTTTGATGATACAGCCAGATTGTTCAGTACAAGTACAAAGAGTGTCAACATGAGAGGAAACAATAGGAGCGACAGATGTAGAAAAAGAGTTTTGTACCTATACAATATAGATGGAACACATCAAATCCAGTCTCAACCCACCCCAGATACTTCCTGTTGGAGGTGACCCAAGTATCTGCCTGCCTGCACGCTCCTCAGCTTCCTGTAGTCCAGAGGGGGAAGGACAGAGTAGTACAATACCACACACACACACATGAGGGGTGTCCTCATGAACATGCAACATGTTCAGCTGATAACCTCTCACATGCAAGAACATTTTTAAAGGTACATTTTAACAACTTACAGTGCTGTAGATTTCCATGCAAACTCAGAGAGAAGCTGAAACTATTTGTCAATTCATTTACCACTAGAAATTAATTGGGTAACATTTTTTGGCTGTAGTTTCTCTGTGAGGATTTGCTGATTTTCTCCTTTTTGTATCATTAATCATTATTCCTTAATGAGTAATGTAATCATTATTTGAGTATCCAGTGCGTTCTGGACTGTTGTTCAGACAAATTGGAAGATGTCACCTTAGACTCTGAGTAGTTGTGTTGGGCATTCTTTGCTGTTCTCTGACATTTTACAGGAAAAGAGATTAATCGAGAAAGTAATTGTCGGACCAGCCTATAATAAAAATTATCATTAGTTGCAGTCAGAAATGTGTGGGCAGTGTGTGGAGCTGAAATTGCAGTTACTTTTTCATCAGTCCACTTCACTGGGCTTTTAATTGGAAGTCAGCCTGTCTTTCCACCTACCCTGCATGCCCAAACCTCCCACCTGTGTCTCATTCAGGTCTTGAAGCCGGTGGTCTGGCAGGCTCGGGCTGGTCGGCTGACTGGAGTCCAGCTCTGGAAGTCTGTTTTGTTTCAAAGCTCCCACAGTCAGATGCCTAAAATCGCTGATGCAGCATCTCAAAAGAAGAGTCCCAGTTTGGGCATTCTGGGCACATACTTTTCTCATTGTGTTTCCTGAGACAACAGGATTTCACATTTGTCACAATATCAAAATCTAAGAACTCAGTATGATTCTGCATTTTCACCAGTACACAAGTTGCTCCAGCATCAAAAAGCTTTCTGAAATTCCCCCACTGCGTTCTCCTTAAGGGACCTGCCAGTTGAATTGTACTCTGTAGTGTTGTTTTGTATTTTGACCTTCCTCGAACCTTCTGAGCGTTCCTCTGGCACTTAAGATGAACAAAACCATGTTTCCTGCCAGTGCTGACCCCCGCCCCAAACTACAGAAAACCCCCAAGCTTGTGGCTTTCTGATCCAGCTGGCAGCCTGCAGCAGGTCATCTGTCTTGATTACAGTTTTGGCATCATTTTTTTTTTAATTTTGTTAAGGCTTTGCTTTTTATTCAGTTTACTGTTAGACATCATATACTGTACAAGCGCAGCCAATAGCGGCAGAGTGGGAAATGATAGTGTGGCAGTGGAAAATATTGTAACTGTATCACTGTGATCTGACCTCTTTATTGCTGAACTGTTCACAACACTATCTGACCAGTAGAGTTTGTTCACATGCTCCACTAACTGTTCCCTTAACAGACATTTCCCACTGTATACTAAGGAGCAATTAGCTGTGGACTTCAACAAAAAAAAAAAAAAAATGGACAAAAGCATGCACAGGGCCCACACACACACACACACCAAGTGCCCAAATCCATAAATGTGCTAATTCTAGCAATGAAAAACCATGATTATTTCTAAACTATATTTAGAAGTTAGAAGTACTGGACACACATTAAAGACATGTTTAAATTTAGTTTGACTGTATTTAATGATAGCGAGTTCCTGGACAAGCCATTATTGTCAGGAAATACAGAGGGTTAATTGCGCTATCTGCCCCACATTTAGAAATGGCGCTGTGTGTCCCTAAGGATGGCATATTATTCCTACTATTGCTTGTTTAGTAACATTTTGGGCATACACAACTTCTATCTTCATCTCAATTTGTAAAAATGAGTTTGTTGCAGTTGTGCTTCTGTACTCAGGAAGGTTTCTGTCAGTGTTTTTCAAATAACAAATTTTATTTATCGATATTTTGTGGCTTTTGACAGTAACCTAATTACACACATGTAGTGTGGGTTGAGCAGGAAGATCACCATTTGTAAATTTATATCCCTCTAAAAAGTGAAAGATTAAACCAGCAGATAGGTTGAGTGAAAACTATGTGGTCTGCAGATACAGAGGTAGCCCCCCCCTGGAACATCCAAATTCTCTGGCAATTAAAAAAAATTGCAGCATCTTATCACTAAAATTGAAAAATCAGACAACTGCAGCTAGTGTAAATGTGCTGTTTTATTCCCTGCCTTTACTGATTCATTACGCTAATGTTTTTTCTTGTGTGCATGCAAGCGCAGTCATTTAAAATGTGAAATGTCATTCTAATGTCCATTCATCTTCCTAAGTATCTCTCAGGAGAACAAATATATCTGGCGCGAGTATTTGTTGGTTCGATCAGATTAGCTGAAGTGGCTCTTAGGTATACATGCCTGATTCCTGCCATACAGTCCCGTACAGTGCCCCGGCGCACCAGGCCTTCCTTTGAGGTCACAGCGCCGGCAGCCAAGAACCTGCCAGAAAGCCGGGTGCTGGAGAATGATTGATAACCCCCAGCATTTCTCCCACAGTATTTATTAGTTTGTTTTTTTGCAAGGTACTTTCTCACCATTTTGAGCCATTTGCCTCTCAGAAAATAGGACCCCCGCTCCTCCAGGGCTCGTCCAGTCCTCTCACTTATTATTAGGGGGAAACAGCTTGTACAGAACAATAAAAGTTTCCTGCAATGTGTCAAGACTGTTCCACTGACAAGACAGAACCTGCAGCCGTGTACAGCTCAGGCTCACACACAAAGTGAACAAACTTCCCACCTTTCAGCTTTCATCCCCTTACTTCTGTTTGCCTCTCTCCCAATCCTTCCTCTGCTGGCAGTGACTCACTCAGCTGCCTCTTACTTTCTTCATCTGCCTCTTTGTGGCCTCGTTTTTAATTTGCTCTAATGCCAATTTCCTTCACCATGGTCTCTCTAGTCCCCAGTTCATAAGTTGCCCTGAGGAGCGTATATTGAGGGGCTGATCCTCTCAGTCTGGGACCTTGCAGTCATATCCTGTGTGGGGCTTTAGTCTCAAACTGCTTTGCTGGTTGTTTTCTGTTTGAACATTGACGACAGTACACAGCTGGTTTAGACTGGAATCCTGATGAAAGCAAGTAAAAATCACTACTTTTTTCTGAGGAAAAGATTGCTTTTCATGTGTCTGTTTTTTTCATAGGATTCTCTTAATACAGCAATGACTTAAATGGCAGAAGATTAATCTGTCATCTCATTTAAGTTATTTTCTGTAGAAAAAATGCTGAAAATTTTTTGCTTAACATTTAATGGACCAAAATGATTAATTGAGAAAATAATCTATAGATCAATCGCAAATGAAATAATCATTAGTTGCAGCCTTACTTTATTTTAATTTGGAAAACAACTTGCTTGAATTGCTTTATTTCCAAGGGTAAAATGTGTCAGTATAAAATTCAAGTCATGTGGGTCAACAATGTGCAAAAGATTGTACATCCAGCCAAAGGCTGTTGTGGCTCGCTGCGTTCAGGTGCTGGAGGGAAGTTCATTTGTGATATGCCACCAAAACCTTTTAAAACCAAGAAGGTAAATTGACATTTAATGGCCTGCTTGTTGTGATTTCATGTGAAACTCAGTTTTCAGATGTGAGATTTGAACATGGGAACATAAATTTGACTGAGTATATGTGAGCCAGTGAACAAATGTGGAGACTCTGCACGTTAGTTTTCATCCTTTGATGAAATTCATCAAAAGTTCATCATAAACACTGCCTAGAAGTAAGGAAAAGCATACTCAAACATCTGAAATCCTGCTGTAGGCTTTAAAAACAACCAGCAGTAGTATAGCTACAAGAAAGCTGCATTAAACCCTTTAATTATGATGAAAGGTTAGCAGAAGCCAGCCAGATACATGTTTGCCACAGGCCTCAACCCCAATCTATGTGATATCTCTTTTTTTCTTTTGTGTGAAGACTAAAAGCTGTTCTCCTAAGCCAGAGGTCAGCGAGGTCTAGAGAACCCAGCTCCTCCTCTGTTCTCGCATGAGGCTGCAGGCAGCAGACAATAGTTCAGTCCCTTTTCTTCCCTCCACTCCCCTCTGTTTTCCTCCCTTCTTTGGCTTCTTCCCACATCTCTTGTCACTTCCCTCATCTTCCTCTTCTCCTCTCCTTTCTTCTCTCACCAAAACCCTCCCTCATGTTTGTCCCCTCAGCTGCCATATTTTACCCCTGGCCAAGGCACTGTCACACTTTTCCCCTCATTGTCTGACTGGCTGTTGTCTCCCCCAGCCACTCCACCATACTCCCGCTGTGTGAACCAGCTCTACGGCTCCACTGGGACACATTATCAGTGTTGGACCGCTCGCACTGGCCAGTATTGTCACCAGGTTTTCTTAAATGACAATAACAGAAAGTGAATCAGTTTTAACACAAAGGGTAAACTTCAGTGGTCAGGAAAGGAAATTCTGAGGCAGGTAAAGGCAGCTGATGGATGATGTGTAATTATGTGAACTTGATGTTCAACTTTTATAATATTCTTTCTTTTT